TAACATAATTAACGCACTTTGAAAAAAGTAGTTTGTTCAGAATCGTTTACTGAATCGATTCCTATCATTTTTAATATAGGTAATTTAGTTTATCCCAAAAATAATTAAAACTACGTAAATTACAGTCACACTAAATCTGTACAGTCAAAACAAACTGAAATTGACCGTAACTTAAGGCAATAAGACTTTTAAGAGTGCAGTTATATTTTGTATTATTACTAATTCAGTCATTCAATAAAAATAAAGAAAAATGAACTTTATTTCAAGAACGTTGCGTTAAAGTCTTTGCGTTCGTGGATTTGAACTGTGACCACAACATTCTTCCGGAATTAGTATAACTAATTTGATAAATAGTCAGTGCATAAAAATGTTTAACTAAAAATTCAGTGTATGTATTATGATTATAACATAATATACTAATTGGTGTGTCTGAGGGTGTGCGTTAATTACGTTACATATTGTATATTTAGATAATTTAATACAAAGTTCTCCGATATGCCGCAAAACGTGTGTAGTCTTTTACTCTATTTTTATTTCTTTTTTATGCGTCTCTGGAATACAATAGTTTGCAAACTCAATTTTCACCCTTAAATAAAAACCGCATATTAACTCTATCAATAAATAATATGTAATGAAATACACACAGGATCGTTATGTCGTAAATAATAACAAGCATTACGGAGTTAGTATTAAAGTAATAGATATGGTTCAGCGAACCATTGCGCAACCGGCGACGGCATCGCTGTATACCATGCGCTCGTTGAGTCCGGTTCGCACTGGAAAGCCCGTCTTATGCAAGCCCTCGCCGAGTCAACGCGCAATGCCGAAATAAATCATCCTGGTTTGAAATTACACCCAAAAATGGAACACACAAGCGTTGTAGGTACTAAAACTTTTTATAATAGTTAGTGCGTCTGTTGTGATCGAGTAACTTCCGAAAGACTTCACCAATTGAAGTCGTATTCACACAGTATATTGATTCTGCCGAGACGATAGTTTGTAGCTGCGCTAGGATCTGATCGGTGGCACTTTAATCATGTTATAAGCAATACCAGTTTTACGTGTTAGAGCCACGCTGCGTCTATATTATGGTTGTAGCACGATTGGGTCGGCTCGACCGAGATAGAACCACGCTCTCACAGAATACCAGCATAAAATAACAGCGGATTGCTGCTGTGTTTTGTATGGTAATAGTAGAGAACCGGAGATATTACTGAAAGCGATGCATTCCTAAGATGGAATGGATACTCAGGGGTGGACCACACATGTGCATTTTGATACTTAATCGAAGCTAAATGTAGACAGACGTCCTTGGACCACAGCGATTACTTACCATCAGGTGGACTGTGCGCTCGTTTGTCACCCTTATCCTATAAAAAAATACTTTTCTTCTATCGATCGTCGTCAGCTAAGTGATATCTCGATGTTAGAATTTTTCTAAGTCAAATTTAATAACACTCATTGCATGGAACGGAGTGATTTTTTTTTAGATGATCCTCATGCGCGAATGCTGGTCTCCGGTTTCTCAGCAGCATTAATTTTTTCGTTCATTTAGCTCTTTTTGATTCTCTTATGCCACTAATTACTTTAAATAGACGGCAGGTGATTAAAACCATCTATTAGTACGGTACCGCACTGTAAAATGTAGCTGCTTCTTCTTTTTTTATATAAGAAGGGTCAAACGAACATGCGACTGACCTGATGGTAAATGACTACCGCCGTCCATGAGCAACTGCAACACCAGAGGAATCGCAAGTGCGTTGCCAGCCTTTTAAAAGGTACTGAACAATCGCTGGTGGTAGTCGATTACACAAGGAAGAAAAGAATGATACTATTATTACCTTCATCGTTATCATCGCCATTTTTAACTTTAATTTAGTACATTTTCAAAACGATATGATATTTCATTCTAAAACAAAAGAAAAATTGCAGTTTATATACATCCCACCTCTGATCGCAGGGCTTCTCTCATTTTTGAAAGAATTTTAAGGCAAGGAAATGTTCGCTGCACAACCCCAGAACGAGATGGCGGACTTCACTTACTATCGAATTATGATTATTTAGTTTCTTATACATGCAGGTTTCCTCGCGATGTATTCCTTCACTGCAGAGCACGTGCTAAATCAGCACCTAAAACTGTAATTAATAATTTCATTGGTAGCTATGGGAATGGAAGTCGAGTCCCTCGTGTATGATAATTACGGCAAGCGATAAGCCTTGGAAAAATTCTTTATTTCATTTTAACTATGTCTAAATATTTCCAATTATATGTAGAAGCCATGTAACGAAGTTAATATATACATAAAATAAATCTATATTTTCAACCATTGACCCGCCCCGAATTCGCCTGAATAAGATCTATTAACGTGACGCTTTGTAGATTTAAAATAATCTAGACCATTTATTTTATAAATTTATAGTTTTTTCTTTAAGAAGATCTTAAATTTTTTTCGATAAAATATAGATCCATTAAATCCTGGAAAATCCCGTGCAATTTAATAAATAATTAAAATAAATCCTGTAAATAAATGTTATTATAATTTAAATGAATTTTTGACGATAAATAACGACAAAGTAAGAATACTTCGACTTGGTACATTGTATTTCAAATTAAATTAATTTATATAAAATAATATAGAATGTTGATGATATGATATATTACAATTTATGTTTAAAAATAGATAATACGAAAATAGTTAGCCCTCTAGTGTTGCTATGCCCTTGCAGGGCGTCACATGTATACCTATCAAAATTGTACCATGTTTAAATTTGTAATGTAACACGCAATAAACAATTTGAATTTGACAGATTGAAAATTCTTTATTGCACACAAACAAAAACAACTTGGTACAAAGGCGAACTTAATGCCGAAAAGGCATTCTCTGCCAGCTAATGAATTATAGCCTAGATCCTGCTCTTTATCTGTTTGAAAAGTTTTATCACAATCGGTTCAGCTATTATAAAGTTTATCCTGGACAAACAGACAAAAATTATAAACCAGTTATTTCAATATTATAGACAGATTTAGACAATAGAAAGAATAGACAATTTTATTTATACATACTACTAGATATTCGCCCCGGCATCGCACTGTTGATTTCTGAATCTCTCTGGAGTCCAAATGTGAATATAAGCCATCTAGTGACCCATTCAAATACACACAAAACAATTTCATCAAAGTCTGTTGGATGACTTGGAAGTCCGTAACGGACGTAGGTAAAAATATTTTTTGTGTTTTGTTTAGATAGATAACAATTTTAACAAACGACCTAATCTTTCTTTTAAATTATTTAATAGATTATGCTATTTTTTATGTATTAAATGTAGAAAAAGCACCAGTAACACAATAATGTACAAGGATTCAGACTGCGTACTTATAAAGCAAACCGTTTAATGCACAAAAATTTTATTTTGACTAACTTTGGGTAATGGGTATACTAGTGTATAGCAACAGATTTCCTTTAAATTTTTCGGTTTATCACAAATAAGATATATATGACCGCTCCGTGATGCAGTGGCTTAGCAATGACTTGCAGCGCTAAGGGCCACTGGTTCGAATCCAGCACATAACTAGTATTTGCCCACAAATAATTGTACTGAGTCTGGATGTTTGTCCTTGTTAGTTGTCCTTGTACAAAATTTATGAATTTAAACTGCTCCAGAGATACAGAAGAAAATCCCAGTGTGGAAGCGGTAACGATTTTGAAAAAAAAACATATGACCCTTTATTAGGCTATCTTACGATAATATCGGAAAAAAGATCGCATAAAGAATTGTAAAAATGGCTTGGTATCAATAACCTCATTCCCTGTGGTCAACTATATTTTTATAAATATAATAATAAACCTTTTTAATAGTCTTCGTTATATAAAATGAAAACCTAAAGATATCCGACTCGTCGGGTCGTACTTCCAGTTATGAACCTAACATCCAAGAAGTAACGTGATCTCTCTCTGTTAAAAGCTCAATGACACTATACCAGCTATAAAGAGAAGGAGCTATAAATTATTTCCTTTGGTGATAGAAATTGTAATAAAGATATCTGCAATAGACACAGATTAAGCAATTAATTCAATAAATCAGTAAGCAAGGTAGCACAACTGCACTCGTTGAAGTCTTTTACATCACACAGTAGTGACAAGTATAAAATTTTTAGAAACGCAGTGTCAATTATGATCTCGAAAAAAATTAACTAACATTTTCATAAAAGCCTGTAACTAGAACAAACTTCCTTTAATGTTTATTATGAGTACTAGAGAAAGTGGATCAAATCCAATTATGGGAGGACATATCCGAACTTGTTAAGTTATCCAGAATTGTAATATTACGTAACTAAATGACACAATACTTAAACTAAGCACATTGTATTTTACTATCACATGCATTAACGTTGGATGCATCATCGATTAAGTTTTATTTGCAATTGTCAAATAGATGCAAAGAAATGTTTCAGTAAACCATTACAATAAGTCGGGGAAAAGTTTCTTCGTATTTTCTTTTTATTAAATTGAAGAAAAATCTCTTTGGTTGTACTGTTTTTATCTAGCTAGTTTTAATATTAATACATATATGACATTTAAAAAAAAAGAAAACTAAAAAGCCAAAATGAAAAAGAAAATCGATACATTCTGAAGTTTTATTACAAAAAAGGGAAAAATACGACTCAAGTCGCGAATAAAAATTGTGACTCTTATAGACATAATGTAGTATCAGTAAGAGTAGTACTAAGTTGGTTCAAGCGTTTTTAGTCCGGGAATTTTGACGTCAAAGGCTCAGCTCGGGATTATGTCACTACCAACAAGATGGCAACAAGTTATCGAACAAAATGGCATATATATGAATGTAATTAAACTATGAAAAAAATTGTCTCGAACTTGTATATAAAATACGAAGAAACTTTTTCTTCGACCTAATAACTTCTATTGTTCTGTAAAAAGTAACATCTACTTAATCTATATGAACTACTATTACTACGTTTTTTTTACTGTAAAAAGAATCTATCATGTAGGACACGTAGAAGATGAATCAAATAACAAATCCGTAATTGTGACCTCAATAACATCCCAATTGCGTAACATGTACTCGGAACCCAGGCATGAATGATCAGGAGGGTTGATCAATGCTATTCTACGAACGTCATGCCCTGTACCAAAACATTAACAATTTAGCGATACGCAGTTTATTTTGTATGTTAAACTAAGGTCATATTTAGCGATTCTTGCTGCACTAACGTTTCTTGGTAGGAGTAGGAGTCGATCATCTTACAAAATCGGTCCGCGTGCATCTTTGCGTTGGTTGAAGTATAAAGCGTTGTTGCTGGAGAAATAGTAGTCATTCGGACGCAAACACAGCGTCGGAGAAGTGGTGAAAACAACTTAAAAAAGTTGTTACTTTAAAGTGATAAACACAAAAAGTGTTAAAATTAAAGTAAGTTATAGTGTTCGTGACATAACTAAGAGTCATTTGAAAATTAATTGCAAAGTGAGATAATATAGATAAAATAATTTTATGGATGAAGAAAACGGAACCAGTGGAAATTTGTATGGTAATTCTAAAAATCTATGTAGTTTAATTTTAAACATTGTGTTCAAATATTATATTCAAATATTCGTAATGAAGAACAATATTTTAAAATTATCATACATATTCCCACTGTTACCGTTTTCTCCATTCGGCACGACTATAAATTGTTGTTGACTAGTTATCTTACAATGCAGTAAAAGTGACCAATCAAAACGATCTTATTTAGAAAATTAAACCAATTGTTTATACTCTTCATTTTTGCGGTAGAAATACGTTATTACGGTGTTTTTGTATGTGATAATGCTAGGTAGGGTTATACTCTTTACTTTCACTGTCTAACGAACCATGCAGTAAACTCTCTAACTCACGACGCGAATCAGGACTATTACAATGCCAAGTGCATTTAAACTTTCGACTAGACACTAGGATTTAATCGACCTTACATCCGTTGAAACAATTCGAGTCGCATCTAGTAAAATATAAACCTACATATGCGGTGACCAAAAATAATAAAATATCAACTATCTATTGCCTTTAAAAAGGCAATTAAGTTATGCAATTGTGTTACGATTTCTTACGCGAAAAAATGACGCACCGCTAGAAACACGTTTTGCATACTGAATAGATTCCTCTTGGTTTTGGAAAGACACTGACACCAATTCGCTTTCTTTCATAACACGATTTAAAATAAATACGTTTAGCCAAGTCATTATAAGCATTTTAAGGTTTAGTCGATATGCCGCATAAGTGTCGCATATAAAAGTTTATTTATAACATGAAAAAGCACATATCTATTCTCTATTATTTTCTTTGCAATTTATCTTAATGTTAGTAAAGTCAAGTCTGGGTCCAATCTTTAGTGAAATTTTTAACACCAATCTTTAGTGAAATTTTTAACACCGATATAAGAACAAACGTAATACGTACGTAATAACATAATACATAGTGCTTTAACATAAGAGAGCGTGGGCTTGCAGTGTGGCTTCGCAGACACAGTGGTGCGCTGACGTTATCGACGCTTACATAACACAAAGGTCCGCGAAAGTAAAAGTGTTCTCAAACGAAGAGATTTTGAAATAACATCGTGGTTTTATATGCATCACTTAACAGGATTTAATTACCAAAATATTAAACGCTGAATTATATTTCAGATCATGCAGTTGTCTTTATTTAGTTGTATACTGCTATCAGCAACAATAGCGGTCACATCAGCTGAATGGTCTTGGGGTGAAGGCAAAAGTGACAATGATGAAAATCAACGTAAAAATACGACGGCCGAATTATTAGAAGGGGAGCAACTGACAGTGGCGCAAAAGAAAAGTCTTGAAACTAATGAAACTGTTCTTGACGGAATTGTAGACGAGCTTATTAACGGCAAGCAAGGTAGAAGTTTAGGCGGTTTCGATGAAGTATATGGGGATCCGACAATAAAAGAAGCTTTGGATGCAGGAGATGACACTGAAGCAAGGAACTTGATTAAAGATCGCCTGTGTACATTAGGCTTGATACAAGTTAGTATTAAGTAATTATAGAAAATCAAACTCATAAGTTGTAAAAATGATACATAGTTAAAAATAATTAACTTATTGATTATAACTGCAATATCCTCAAAACCGAATTTAGGTCACGGTGGCCATTTTTAAACGGAGACTAGCCATCTGAAGTGACAGTAGCTTAATGGCAGGGCGCGGACCGCTAACTCAAAAAGGTCGTGGGTTCGAATCCGCCATTCGAATACTGGTGTGAACCACTCTTAACACAAGCAATTTAAGCTTACCACGAGTGGTTAAGGGGAATATTAGTAATGTTTTTTTAATCTGTGCAGGTTATTAAAAGTGTTTGCGCGTAATAAATACAAAGTGTATTTCCTTACTCACATAGTAAGATGAGTTGGCAATCCGATACAAACCGAAACATATCAAGCGTGTTTCACCTGCGCTAGCGCTTGATCTATCTCAGATCATTGACTTTACGTGCATTCCGAGGATCGTGGGTGAGAAACAACTTTCTGACTTCGGGGTGCTACTGGGAATTTTTCGACAGAAAAACCCAATAACTGACTCGGGATTCAAACCCGGGATCAAATGATCAGAAGTCGCGTTTACGTGCAGTTATATTGACACGTTACAGTTAATTAAAATTTAGACAATATTTGGTTTTTTATAATAATACTTCTTTTTATTTTTCGACGACTCCGTGGCGCAGTGGCTTAGCAATGAGTGGCTGCGCTTGGGGGTCGCGGGTTCGAATCCCGCACGGAACAAGTATTTGTATGGCCTACCAATAATTGTTCCGGGTCTGGATGTTTGTCCTTATGCAATTTATGTTTGTAAACTGCCCCCACGATACAGGAGAAAATCCTAGAGTAGGGGTAACGTTTTTAAAAAAAAAATTCATAATTTACTATTTTTCAGTGTGAAGAAGTTGACACTCAAGAAAAGCGGACCTATTATTCTCCAGATGAATTGATTTATGCTCAGCCCGTCGATATTAAGCCAATCGGTAAACCAGTTGCATCGATTCCCGTTCGAGGTCCTCCACGAGCATATGGTCCGCCAAAACCCATGCCATATCCACAACGCCCACAAAAGATACCACCTAAAAGATCTGGATACGGGGGGAATGTTAGACCTGGATTTTCTGATAAATATGGGCTTTCAGGAAGTAATTATCAATTCTCACAAAGCAGCGGAATATACAATAATCACGAGAGTAATTTTGTTACAAAGCCACCTCTATATTCAAACGAGGGACCTTATACTTTTGAAAACTCCAAACCATCCTACAACAAATTTCCATCAAATGCACAGACAGGAGTTAAAACGGAATCTGTCGTACAACAACATGTCCATCATCACTACGTACACGGTGATGCAGAAAAAGATCCCAAAGTTATTATCAAACCTGTCGCTATACCAGTTGGTTCTGTAGGACATTTAGGTTCACAAAACTTTGCTCAGGAATCCTCTGATTTCATAACAGCTGCAGGAGGCGACTACAGCTCCATAACACCTGGAGGTTTTAAGCCTATGACTGGAAGTTATCCCTTAAATACTAAACCAGTTTATGAAGCAGACACTATATATGGCTCCCAATTTGATCATACAAATTTCAATAAGGGCAGTTCGAATTTAATATCTCAATCTTTACCAAATCAATACACAAACAACGCTTTCGATGATCAGAGATTCGGTAATAATCTGGGATCATATGCTTCACAAAATTCAGAATTTTACAAAAAAGAACTCCATGTAGGATCGGCTAGTAACTTATACAACCAAGGCCCAGCAACATTTGGTCAAAACAATGCGTATCAGCAAAATTATCATGAAGCAAAAGCTCAAGGATTCGATTGTGTTTGTGTTAATTACGATCAATGTCCAAGTCAAGAAATAATCGGACGCAGGGATGATTTATACTTACCTATTGATCCACGTAATAAAGGTAGTGAAATTTTGGCACTTACGGATGAACAACTAGACAACTTAAACAAAACCACGTCTACAGATTTAGAAGTTGAAACAAAGCAAAATGACACAGAAGTTAAAAGCATTAGTAAACGAGAAGTTGAATCAGATAAACAAAATGAAGGAGAAAAAGAAGCTGAACCGGTAAGTTCCTCTAATGTTTACCAATACTTTTTAGATCTCAAAACTAACATAATTAAGTTATATATTTTATTCATATACTTACATTTACATACTGATCCACGTTAAACATTCATATCCTTTAAAAACTCCATGCCACTACCTCCCTCTATAAAGATAATCACCAAAACAGACTGGGGTAACAATTTACGCATAAATTGCATTCGGATATGAATATGCCATAAATCTAGCATATTATGCTATCCTTTTGCAATGCCTTACAAAAGAAAAACTAAACAATGGGCACTTACAAATAGCTAACAATTCATATAAACAATATTTATTTACATCTAAATACAAATTACTGCAGCGCGTCTTTGGACTGCCCGGCTACGGCGGCAATGGCGGTAATAGCAACAAACAAGTGCAGCCCACGTTTGGTGTCTCTTTTGGGTTGCCCCAGCCTTCCCACAGTGGATACCCCATAAATCCTTATAATGACAATCCTATTCATAATCCTTATGGCCCAGCTTTAAATGGAGGCGGCATAAATTTAGGACTACTTTCAGTAAATCCTTTACTAGCTGTACAAGTTACCAAAAATGACTACGGAGAAAAAATAGTTAAACCTTTTGTTAATTTACATGTCACGCCTAACGAGCATGTTATTAATAAAATCGGCAACTTGTTCCACGAAAAAAAACTTTATCTTTTAAACAAACATGAACATTACCACCATCATAATCCTTACGGTAATTACCATGAATTTAATGCATATCCGCATTATGAATACCCTCTAAATCACAATTACCCATCTGCAGTCTATTCTCCACATTACACGCATCGTGGTTACCCCAAGCTAAATTCTTATCATTCCCCTGAACCATATATTGGTGATGAGGACTACTACGACGATGACAATTTAAACCACTATAATGATCATGCCCAGAACAATTACCATCAAAATGATTTCTTTAATCCTAGTCTTGAGAGGTCAACCAACACTTCAGTAGAAGATAAAGGTAACAGCTATGCTAATCGATACGCTTATTCCCGTTCCCTATATATTCCTTCTCGTACTCCTGGGGCAAACCAGGGAGGCTCAAGTATCCGCTTTCCTGACAACAGAAGGAAGAGAGAACTTTCTATAGAGAAAACTGTTGAAGAGGTAATAAAGTCGTAAATAAATAGTCCTCAATGTATTAATAAATGTAACTGCATATGCAAATAGGCCTTTAGTTCGTACAATTAATCGCATTAAAATTAAGTATATTTTTATAGCGCCAAGGATACTTCGGTCGCCCCAATGCACAGCGATGTCAGCAAAATCAAGTGTGCTGTCGTCGTCCTTTACGGCCCCAAGCTTCTAATCGTGGTCAATGTGGTATCAGACACTCCCAAGGCATCAATGGAAGAATTAAGACGCCTTCATATATAGATGGCGATAGTGAATTTGGAGAATATCCTTGGCAAGCAGCCATACTGAAAAAAGATCCAAAAGAATCTGTTTACGTTTGTGGAGGAACACTTATTGATGGACTTCACATCATGACTGCAGCTCATTGCGTTAAATCGTTAGTATTATATTTGAAGCATTATTTCACATTTGAATACTTTCAGTAAGTTATGGTTATTAACTTCGGCGCATCTTAGAGTTGCTACACGAAATCTTGTGCTCTGGATTCAAACAAAAAAATAGTGTGCCAACGTTTATGAGAAAATTACAAATTGTAGATTGTAGATTATTTGTACCGTTACTTTGTCCCATACAGTTCATAACTTCGAAACAGAAAAATATAAATGTACTTGTATATCGTTGCTATTTGTTCAATATAGTTAATTTCTAATGTAATTTTACAGATACAAAGGATTTGAACTACGCGTCAGATTGGGCGAATGGGATGTAAACCACGATGTTGAATTCTATCCTTACATTGAAAGAGACGTCGTTTCAGTTCACGTACATCCCTTATACTACGCCGGAACCTTGGACAACGATCTTGCTATCCTCAAACTGGAACATCTAGTAGATTGGACTAAATATCCCCACATCAGCCCCGCTTGTTTACCTGACAAATATACAGAATATGCTGGACAGAGATGCTGGACAACTGGTTGGGGAAAAGACGCTTTTGGTGACTACGGGAAATACCAGAACATTTTGAAGGAAGTCGATGTACCTATTCTAGCACATGCTCAATGTCAACAACAGTTAAAGCAAACGAGATTGGGCTACAATTATGAATTGAACCCAGGTTTCATTTGCGCTGGGGGTGAAGAAGGAAAAGACGCGTGTAAAGGTGATGGTGGTGGTCCTTTAGTATGTGAACGCAGCGGTACATGGCAATTAGTAGGTGTCGTATCTTGGGGCATTGGTTGTGGCCAAGCTGGAGTACCTGGAGTCTATGTGAAAGTTGCACATTATCTTGACTGGATCGCACAAGTAACAGGAAAATATTCACAATACTAAGGATATGTAACTTTTGTTTTAATAGTTAGGTATTAACGTTTATTTAATGAATGTTTATAATTTATTATTTAACTTTGAGTGGTAAGGCTCAGAGAATCCGAGTAATTGCATATTATGCAGATTTTTGTAAAAAAAAATATATTTTAATATACTTTTCGAAATATATGACAAAATAGTATTATTTTAAATTCCTTCCAGTCTTCAAAAGTTTATAATTTTACCACGACTTATTTATATAATTGTATTACATATAATAAATCTGTAGAAGAGTCGTGTCCGCAATATATTAATATATTTTTTTTTTTTTTTTTTTTTTTTTTTTTTTTTTTGTTCTATCCAAATCACCTCGAGTTATTATAGAACTCAATTACACAAGTAAAGACAACATACATCTCATTATTTAGTATTACTTATGTAATATTAAAAGGTAATTAAATATTTTCTCCGACGGAATGATTAAATCAACATTAGTTCTTGATTTTTACTATAGTTTCAAACTTAGTAATTATAATTATAATATATATTAAGGACGTATACACGTACCAAGCGCTGATTAGCTCAAAACATTACTTTTCAAACCTGTTAATATTCATCATCCGTTTATATCACACAAACATAGAGCAACACAGGAGAAGACATAACGTTATTTTCCGATACCAAACTGTCTGTGTTATTTGTGGACCGGACTGGACCAGGGTAAATAGTAAATAAAGGCCTCTGAAGCCAAATTTGCGGTTTTTAGAATTTTTGTCTGTCTGTCTGTCTTTCACAAGATTCAACAGATTTCCATGAAATTTTGTGTGCAGGTAGTTAGAGACTCGGCAACTTATAAGCTACTTCTTATCCGATTACGGAACTTCAAACAAGGAGGTTTTTAGTATTTTCCTTCTTTTCGACGTTAATTTATATTTTATATGATTGATATATATTTCTAAAATAAAAAACCTAAGATTAGTTTTTAACTGTTGTGTAATAAATTAAACTTTGCCAACAATCTACGTTTCACCCTTTCAAAACAGTTCCTCCTAACGTAAAATACAAAAAGTTGTGACATTTTTTCTCCACTTGCTAATAGATAGAAATAATATACTAATATACTATATAATATACTTACAATTATTTGTTTAAATAATTAAATTCATAATTGATTTGAAAATACTAACGTCCATTTTTTAGTTGTTCGTTATTTCATTTTAGTAGAAATAAATCAATTTTATAAATTACTACTTAAATAGATAATAGCGACATCTAACGGAAATCATAAAATTAAGGATGTTTCTTAGTTTAATTTCTAATCTATAGAAAAATTTAGTAGGTTTTTATCTTTAAATAAACCGATAAAAACTGCAATGAAATGCAAAAAAATTCGTGGGCACCCACGAATTTTTCTACAATAAGTTGAAATATTAGGCAGATATCATAGCGGGGAAGATAATTTCTTAGGAAAATGTAAAGGTAAAAGTTTCTTATTGTATTATTATTTGTATTTTATTTAAAATAATTAAACCGAACTATAAATATAACTAAAAGTAGAAAAATTAAAAAAAGAGTTAAAAAGTCCAAAAATTTACGATCAAACCACTGAGGCATTGTTTTGTGCATTAATTGAAACTAATATACTATTATTTGAAACTAATTTCTCAATCAACTGACATGGTGTAACAAAAAAACTTTACCTCATCTACTACTAGCGAGATCTGGTGAGATATTATACAAGTCTTATTATCCTTAAAATTTAAATAGATATTTTAATATTTGTATTGGGCAGATCTTAGAATTTACAATATCATGAATTAGTCGATCATTGCTTGAAATTGCGGCATTTCATAAAAGTTTACAGTGTTTGTCGATTATATCGTGGTATTGCTTGACTAAATCAATGAATAGAAATCGTTTGGCGATATTAACAACTAAAATCGACATTGCTATTTCTAGATATTATTGTTATATCGTAAAATAATTTCATTACAGCAGCGGTGTGTAATGAAAGTGTACCTACTGTTGACAGAAGCAGAAGTTTGAATAGATTCTACATCACTTTATGCCTGATTTATGTATTATATAAATGTTTACGGCTTCAATTGTTGTTTACGGCGATTGAGCCACGCCAGGCGCACCTTGTTTTATTATGGCTTAGTACAGTGGCGAAGCTTCCATTAAAGCCGAAAAGCCGGGCTTGCCTTATTAAACCTGAATCAATCAATAATATCAATCAATAATATCAACTAATAAAATAACTCGTAAAATGTTTCAAGCTATTTCAAATTTCCCGCGCACTCCACTGTTCGACACATGTCGACCGATGACCTCGTATTGCCTTAGCGATACTGCTGCTGTCATAAAAAATGAGTTTTAATAGAGCTAATAGTTGTCTCCCTCGCTCGCGTGGGCTTTTTACGGGGCTTTCGAGAAGCCGATCGCTCTCTTTCTAACCTATGGCAAAATATTCTATAATGAAATATAACTACGATTGCATATATAGCAATTAGTATAGAGATTTAAAGCCAGGCTCTTAGGAATAAATTTGTTAAAAGCGGAGGCGCGCGGGCAATACGTTTGCAAGTTCATTTCACGTTTCAATATTTATTTACTCTGTGTGCTTATCTTAAGCGACTTAATATTACGAGTAGGTACAAAATTTATGCTTTTTTAAAGATTTTTAACGAAAATGGAGGATAATAGTGTTCCTTGTGATGAGTTGAAGTGTGTTAAGGTGATAATCGGAGAGGAAATCTTTAAACTTACTTGAGATAATACACAAGGTTAGGAGTGTATTTCAGACTTATCATTTATCGCAATTAAAAACATTTATTGGTACAATTAAAACGTTCACCAACATTTTACGTGGACGTAATTAAATCTTTCCATAAGAAAGCGAGACGATTCCACTTATCTTATCTTATCTCTTATCCATTAGAATGTAAATATTTGTTTTGTTTTTTTTATTTTGTACATAGTTTGTTTGTACTTTGTTCGTGTTTTACTTTTGTTCATGTATTGTATTGGATGTAAATATTTTTTTTCTTTCGCTTAAACAAACCCAAACGGATTTCTTCAAAGCCACCCAAGCTATGCAATTGCTGATATGTAATACAATCTATTTAGCAGTGGTATGCCTTCTGTGTGCTTTGTTAAACACGTCCTTGACAGCACTGAATATGAAACTGAAGCGTAGAGACAGATCAAGTTTGGTGTATTTTTATAAAACTGCTAAAAACAACAATTTATATTTTTATCAATTTATATCTTGGGCTTGCCCTAGCTTGGAGCTCTAGCTTCGCCACTGTGAGTACTAAAGGGTACAGTTTTAGTTTTCATAATTTTAATCTAAGAATATCGCTATCTACTTACTGCTATATAAACTAATAATAAGTAACTGATCAAATTAAACACAATTCTATTAATTACTTATTGTTCATCAATCAGCATCAAAGTTATCAGACATAAAATATTCATATCGGTGGCCATTGTCCGAATGATTTATCATAATTGTCAATTTTAGCAACATTACTAATAAAACTGTGCTTTAGAGAAGACAGCCAATTTCTTTTTGTATCAAGTCCGATATAGGTAAGTAACAGAAAATTAAGTGCACTGTGAGATTTTATCTATAATTGATGGATACCGTTGACGCAGTTCATGATACCATTGACGCAGCATTTAATACTTTTAATGAGACTTTTAAAACAGTTTGTCATTCATTAAGATAGCTTTCATATTTTCCGACATACCTTATTAAAATATTTGTAACAGTCCCGGGTTTAAAGTTTACATGAGTATATGAACAGGTTCTTGCAAATAAGTACTATAAATAGCAAAGAGAGCAAATTTTAAGGACAGGTGTATTTTTAATTCAACTATGAGCAGAACTACATTGATAGAATCTTAAAGGTCATCTGTCAAAGCCGGTAATCGAACCGATCCAAACGTAAATTTCGTAGTACGTAACAACTCAAATTCTCATACTCCATATATACTTTAATAGCAATTTGAAGTTTCGATTTACCACGTTCGTAGTGGTGAAGGAAAACATCTCGAGGAAACTTGCATAACTGAGAAGATAAAAAAATATTTCTTTTTAAGTTTAAGTGAAGTAGGTCATCCCGCGTTGGAGTCAACTCAACTAACTCTTTTTTGTCCTAAAACTCGCTGCGGGCTGTGCCCAGAGTGGGATGTATCTAAGCTGCTACTTTTTTACTTTTAATGAAGCTGTTCACTTCTGACTGTAGGCTTACCCCATTGTTTGTCAAATAGGCCGGATATTTGCAGTAGTATTCACGCTTGTCAACCGGATTGGCAACCGCAGCTTTTTATTACTTTCGTCGCCTCTAGATGGATAGTAAATTTCTGCTACAGTTTATGAATTGGATACCCTCCATAGATTGCCAAATGAGTTTGATATTTGCCATAGTTGCTACATATTTTTATTATTTAGAGCTATAATCAGGAAAACGCTGCAGCGGATCTTCTGTATATTGCTACTCCCGTGGATGAATATAGTTTTCTCACATGTTCACGGTGAGTAGAACTATATTTATGAAATTTTTAAGTCTAATCGAACGTAAAGAAATACTGGCAAGTATTTTATATACACTATTCAATGGGGCCAATATTAATAAAGACAACCAAATTATACATATTTTTTTTTCAAGACTATATCAGCTTTAATTATAAATATTACGTAAATAACGCATTTCTGATTCCAGGGCAATTTTCCCTTCATAGACACATAGGATGACATGCCCGATATAAAAAAGGTGTATAGGCAGGACGTATGATATAAAATCAATTCTGATAAACTGACTTATGTGTTTCTGTAGCATATTATATTGCCAAATTTCAATCATTTCTTACGTCCAATATAAAGACAGACACCGAGGTGTTTCCTACAAGTGACCTAGTTTTGGTAATTTTAGCACCAAATAGTATTATTGATGTCTCTAAGTTCAAGGCACGCGAGCGATGCCGCAGGTAAAAAGCTAGTACTAGAAAAAAGCTCA